TCATCCTCATCAACCATTGAACCATCTCCTCAGTTTCAGGCATAATGCCTGAACAGAGATTTTGTTTCATGCATAGTATTAGTGCAAAGTGAAATGTTACTGCTTGCCTCTTTTAGTATCCAAGGCTACAGCAACTCATACACAGTGCAGCACATAGAGCTGCCTGTGGAGCATGGACAGATGACTGTGAAGTCAACTGGGCCTTAGAAAGCCTGGCTAAAACAAGGCCAGAGCAGGTGATGGTATTCCAGTTGATCTATTTAATGTCTTAAAAGATGCCACTGTTAAGGTGCTACATTCAATATGCCAGCAAGTTTGGAAAAATTAAAGTGAGACACTACTGTACGTGGGACAGGAAGCGACAGTGGCCAGAGGACTGGAAAAAATCAGTCTACATCCCAGTTCCAAAGAAGGGCAGTGCCAAAGAATGCTGCAACTACCGTACAATTGCACTCATTTCACACACTAGCAAGGTTATGCTCAAAATCCTCCAAGGTAGGCTTCAGCAGTATGTTGACCAAGAACTCCCAGAAGTACAAGCTGGATTTCGAAGGGCCAGAGGAACTAGAGACCAAATTGCTACCATGCACTGGATTATGGAGAAAGCCAGAGAGAGCCAGAAAAAACATCTACTTTTGCTTCATTGACTATGCAAAAGCCTTTGACTGTGTGGACCACAGCAAACTATGGCAAGTCCTTAAAGAAATGGGAGTGCTTGACCACCTTATCTATCTCCTGAGAAACCTATACAGTCATGCCCCGCTTAATGGTTACCCCATATAATGACGAATCCACTTCACGATGATGTTTTTGCAATCGCAATTGCGATCGCAAAACGATGTTTTAATGGTTTTTGTTCAGTTTGCAATGATCGGTTCCCTGCTTCGGGAACCGATTCTTTGCATTACGATGATCAAAACAGCTGATTGTTGGGTTTTCAAAATGGCCACCAGCTGCTCAAAATGGCTCCCCACTGTTTTTAGGAGGCATTTTTCGCTTAACAGGCACCCGAAATGGCCGCTGTATGGAGGATCTTTGCTGGATGAGCAGATATTCAGCCCATTGGAACGCATTGAACGGTTTTCAATGCATTTCAATGGGCTTTTTTATTTCGCTTGACAACTTTTCGCTCTACAGCAATTTCGTTGGAACAAATTAACGTCGTCAAGCGAGGCACTACTGTACTATATTTTACATGTCATCATCATAAGTGTCATTCATAACAGCTTGTTACAATAAGGTACAGGGGACTAAGGGATGGTCCTAAAATAGTAAGGTAGCAGAATAAAAGGTACTCCACTTCTGACAGTATCAAGTTCCTTCAATTTTTGATAAAGACAATGACAATGTCCAAAAAAGAAGAAAAAACCCAGGGTGCATATTTTATCTTCCTTTCCCTGCACACTTTGGATTTGTATAGATCATATCAAATCTATTCAAGTAAAAGAAGCCCTCTGTACATTCATAGTCTTATAAATCAAGGTC